GGGGGGAATGTTTTATGAGGGCTCTTTAAATTAGCACGTGATATTTATTTACAGTAAGTAAGGGAGTTTTTTTTATCTCTCGCTACTTTCGATTTTCGGATTAGTTTTTAGTGGATAATTAGATCTTGTAGGCTTGAATTTTTTTTCTTTTTACCGTTAGAATGTCGAAGCGTCGAAAATTTTTAACTGAGCTGGAAATAGAGGAAATTATGCAAAATATTTAAACTTATTAATATTTATATTACATTTAAACAAGAAATAACTTAAGTAAATAAAGTATCCATAGAAATATATATAAAGCATATGTCACTTAAATACTCTACAGAACAATATTAAACAACGCGCTGATATTTCGGTAATTTCATGGAATTAGGCTTAACATCGAAAAACCCTCCGGCCCTGGGGAGACACACGCTAGAGAGACTGCCGGCCTCAGCGGTAAGCGCGCTTTGCGTCGCGAAAGGGTTAAATATCTTTTAACAACTTTTTTTCTAATTTTATTGCCCAAAAAAGAATTAATTTTAAATCACAAGCAGTTAAACTCAAATTATAATACAGTTTTATCAAAACAATGGGTTTTTGACAGTTTCTGACGTTTTTGACAGAGTGGTTTTTGACATGACGGTAAAAACCATGGTATAAACCGGTAAAAACCGTCATGTGTCAAAAACTTGCCAACCCTGGTTGAAAGATGTGGCTATGCACCCTGTAGTAGACTAAAAAGGAGAAAATGATTTTACTTTTGTCAGCTTTAAAACAAAATACGTAAGGCTCATCATTTTGAAATATGCACTTTGCTACTTGTATTATAGATTTGACGAAAATAAAATAATTTTCTCATTTTTGGTTAAACATATATTTTTGTTTTTTAAAAAAAATTATGTTATTTGTACTATTTATTGTGATGTGGATTAAAAAAAAAAGTTATTTATTTAACATAGACAGCTGTGAATAAGGGAATTAGATCTGGTGATACTTTCTACTTAAATGGTGTGGATGCCATGGCACAGCACACAAAGAGCACCCTCTACGTCACTAAAAATGTACGAGATCTATTATTTGATGGCTACGATGACGAAATTTTTGAAGCGGTCAAAGAAATGGGAATCGTTGTTCCCTACGAGAAGTTTGGTTGGTTTTATGCCGTAAGTTAAATACAGTATTATAGTGTAGCTACCAGTTTCTCTGGAGCAATCTTGTGATTTCTGTGTATTTTTTTATTTTTTAAAGTCCATCGGATGCAGAATTTTTATGGTTATGAGTAATTTTCGCAAAACATTAACTTGTGGCGTAACTACCACTATGAACATTAAAAAACCAATTAACTAGTATATGAGACATGTTAACTTCATTCTATCTTGAGGTATCTTTTGATAGATGAAAGACGTGATATGAATTTGCTAACAATGACGGATGGTTCACATTAAACAGTTGGTTTGCTTTAAAAAAAAATCTGGTGAAGTAAATAATGTCTCCTGGTCAATAAAAAATATTGAAAAAAAAATAATGATGGAAAATGATATAATCAAAAAATGACGGAAAATGCTATAAAAAAATGAAGAAAAAAAAATAAATAAAATTAACGAAAAGCTATAAAAACAAGAAGAAGAAAAAATGAAGGAAAATTAATGAGCGAAATGCTATGAAGAATGAAAAATATAATGAGCATAATTGATATAAATAAATAAACAGCAAGAATCAACTAGTGGTATTCGTTCATCAAATTCTATCACAGATAAAATTCTGGAAAGGGGAGTAATGTGGCTTAACTACCACTATAAATAAATACCAATTTACTAGTGCAGTACAGAACCCGTTATCCGGAAATCAGAAAACCGGAAAACCAAAAAACCGGAACGAAATTCGATAAATTTTCCCGCCATTTTAAAAAAAAATTTTTTTCCCTCAAAAGATTTTAGGATTTTTCTTTCTTTTTTGAAATATGTTTACCTTGCCATCATTTTGGAAATAATCATTAGTGTATTCCTTCATCGTTTTTTCTTCTTTTTAAGATTATTTCCACAAAAAAAAATTTTTTTTGTTTGGTTTAACAATAAAAAAACGACTTTTTGTAGCGATTCAGAAAACCGGAAAAATCAGCTATCCAGAATAGTGATGGTCCCGATCGTTCCGGATAATCGGTTCCCTACTGTATATAAGACATGTTAACTTGATTCCATCACGAGATACCTTTTGATAGATGAAGGTTGACATTGCCGATTTATATTTCCCTATGAACTTTTAATGAAGGCAGGTTAAATACAGGGAATTTAAAAATCACCTATAATAACAGGAATAATACTGAGTAATTCCTTTATAAACTGGGAAAATACAGTGACTTTTATTTCTTATTTTTGTCTTCTAAAAAGTGGATTTTTGAAAGTGGCTATACTAAACTATTTCATTTACTATAGCATTATTTGTAACTATAGCATTACTTTTCAGCTGTACTTTTTTCCTCCAAGTTTTTCCAGCAATCGAAATGAGTATATAGTTACAATTAATATAGCTCACACAAGTGATTATTGTGTGCTTACTCTTAATATATTGAGTAATTGGAAAACACACTTGGAATTTATAACACTTTCATATGTAAATTACATTAAAAAAAGCTGTGTGTTTCAAGATAATGATATTTTATGTGCATTTTAATTTTATTGAAATGTATAATTAAAATACATGTCTTTTATTGAGACAATAAAGACATTTTACCTGTATTTTATTTTAGCTAAGAAGTATAATTTAAATACAAAATGTGTCCGATTCGTAATTTTCTTTTTACTCCTTGTGCTTTAAGCAAAGCATACCATTAAGTAAAAAAATAATTATTTTTAAGGAAAAATATTGCAATGTCGCTTTTCCTAGTCACTGGATCTAAAAAATTCGCGATTCAAAAATCCAATAATGCGATTTGTGTTTTCGCATTCTTAAGACCCACTATCGTGATTCGTATTCATGCAATTTTTAATTCCAATATCACGATTCTTGTAGGAATGTGTCCTTAAATGAGTTACTCTAAAAGTGTGATATTCTTTATTGATAAGTAATTTAATCATATTAATTATGAATAGCATGTAAATTGATGTCTAGTTTTTACACATGAAATTTTCCGGGGTTTTCAGTTTGTGTCACATTCACCCCTGATAAGGATAGTGTCAGCTTCTATTTCTTCTTGGAAATCTTCTGGTTTCCCCATATTTTCAACAAAAAAAAAGTGTTAAAGTTGACAATGTTCCTTAAGTTCCCTTTTTTTTGTCTTTAATTTAATTTTACCCGTTTGTGAAATTGTAAAGATTAAAGAAGACGTTTTTATATTTTTAGAAAAATGGAAGTGATGACGGAGAATATACAATATTCACTGGGAGAAATGATCTCGCCCAGTATGGATACGTTAATTTATATAAAGGAAGCAGGTATTATCTCTTTATTTATTATCTTTTTTTTTGTTGAAAAACCTCTTGCTGGGTTGCAACTCAACAGGGAAAACCTGGAAAATACAGGGAATTTAAAGATATTGAAAAGAACAGGAAATTTTTATTTCTTCTTTACAAACCCTGAAAACTCAGAGAATTTTATTTCTTAATTTTGTCTTTTAAACATGGTGCGTAGCATTTTAAAAAAGTGCTTATTTTTTAAGCCTTTACAAAAATGAGATTTTTTTCTGTACCATGTCTATTTTCGCCATGTACTATTCAAAAGCGTGCTTTTCACATGGTTCTATTCAACATTATCACAATTCATTCTAACACAATGCATTTTGCCGTAACGTCGGTCCATAGCGTAGGCAAGAGCCAAACATGTGTCTGATGAAATCAAATACTTCCAGATCCGTACGCCCGTCTACTGAGCTGGGTCTGGTGAGATTCTTGTGCTCTCGTGTGCAACTTTGCTCCAATTTCGAGCTTCATTTTCGAATTTCTGAAATAGAAACGAAAAATCTCTCGATCTTCTTAGGGTGGCTAATATAATCGAGAAAAGAGTTTTATATCAGAAACTAGTTATTTTATCTTGATCGTGTAAAGCCTTTGAAAACTATTTTGCATTTTGTTAATGTATATAGTGCTTAAAAGTATTTTTTGAGCGCCTAAAAAGTACTTAAAAAATGCTTATTTTTTGTCAAAAGATACTGCTACGCACCCTGTCATTTATTTATCTATTTTTTTGAAAAGCTTATCCATGGTAGCCACTCCACAGAGAAAACCTAGAAAATATAGGTAATTTTAAAATCACTTAAAATAACAGGGAGTTTTAATTTTTTCTTTACAAACTGTGAACATACTGGGAATTTTGTTTCTGAATTTCATCTTTCAAAAATGGTGACCACTCAAAGGGTTATCTTTGGGATATTTAACTATGATATTTCAGCTATATTAAACCAATTCATTTACTATAGTAATATTTGTTTTAAGTATGTTCAGCTATTCCTTTTTTCTCTAAGTTTTCCAGAAATTAAGAATAGTATAATAGCTCATATGCAAGTGCACAGTGATTGTTGTGTTTCCTCTTAATATATTGTGTATTACATGTACAGGGAAAACACGTTTTTTTTTTTTTTACAGATATGAGTGGCAACCCTGTGAAGTATTTTCGGTGTATGGCTTATCAAAAATATTTTTTGTCATATTATAATAATTTATTAGAAAAATATTTCTTAGAAAGAATGTAATGTTTGATAAAGTTTAATTGTTTTACTTTTTTCTGACATTTTTTTTGCACTAATAAATTTAATTGTATTCATATATTTAATTATTTCTTTAGTGTGGTGCCAGGTAGACAACCACCTTGTAATAGTGTTGGCGGAACAGGTATTTACATCACATTTTGTTTTGTTTTTATTCAGTTTTTTTTTTCTTATAAATTTTTAATTTTCACAGATTTCTGAGGAAATTTATTGCCATCTGGTTTGCCAGTTGTGCTAAGGAAGTTTTAAAACCTTTATTGCGACTCTCATAAAAGAATGAGCACAATTTTATAATACTTTTTTCGCTTTCGTTCAAGAGAAGCTTTATTCATATGACTTTGTATAGGCCACCTGAACTATTGTCTATTATTTGCCCTGGCAGTAAAAATTTCAGTTACTTATATATTTTGTCAGAATGATAAAACAAATTAAAACTTTATGTTATTGGTTTTAAATATGTAATAAAATAAGTGACATTTTATGCTTGCTAGGAGGCTCCTCTTACCAACTCTTGCTTCTCATCCATGATTGCCTTCCTTTTTTAAAAATTTATATTTTCCAAAACAACATTTTGTGAACAAAATATACAATAATCAGGGGTCTGTTTAGAAGAAATTTGGATCCATTAACGGACCCTTCACAAAATATCATTTCATAAAAGCAGACCCTTCGCAAAATAATTTATCTTTTAATCAGACCCTTCACAAATTTGCTAATCTTCATTATTGTTTTGTTAATCGAATAAACCCTTCCCAGGGCAGAAAACAAGAAAGATGGATGGATGTAAATGAANCATTGCGATTCTTATTTACGAGATTTAAAAAACCAATATCGCGATTTGTATTTACGAGCTTTTAAAACCCTATGTAGCTACGCGAGCTTAAAATCCAATGTCGTGATTCGTTTTTGCGGTTGTAATATCGCGCGATTTTAAAATTATGCATCTTGATCTAAAAATTACGCATCATGATTTGTATTTTCGCATTTTTTAAGTTCGATGTAGAGTTTCATATTCACGTGATTTAAATGCCTCATTCGGGATTTATAATCACATGTATTACAAGTTTAAACAAAAATTTTACAAAAAAGTGCGATTTTTATATATATATATATCTTTATATATTCTTGGATTTCCTCTTTTTTACTCTCTGACTACTCTCATCCCTGGATTAGATATTTATTTTCGTAATTTCTTAGAAAGAATGTAATGTTTAATAAAATTTAATTGTTTTACTTTTTCTGACATTTTTTTTGCACTAATAAATTTAATTGTATTAATATATTTAATTATTTCTTTAGTGTGGTGCCAGGTAGACAACCACCTTGTAATAGTGTTGGCGGAACAGGTATTTACATCGCATTTTTTGTTTTTGCATTTTATTCAGTTTTTTTTTCATTATAAATTTTTATTTTTCACAAATATCTGAGGAAATTTATTGCCATCTGGTTTGCCAGTTGTGCTATGAAGAAAGTTTTAAAACCTTTATTTTGACTTTCATAAAAGAATGAGCACAATTTTATAATACTTTTTTCGCTTTCGTTCAAGAGAAGCTTTATTCATATGGCTTTGTATAGGACACCTGAACTATTGTCTGTTATTTGCCCTGGCAGTAAAAATTTCCTTGCATATTGTGTCTTAAAGATAAAACAATCTAAAAATTTATGTTATTAATTTTAAATGTGTAACAAAAATAAGTGACATTTTATTCTTACTAGGAGGCTCCTCTTACTAGCCCTTGTTTCGCATCTATGATTGCCTTCTTTTTTTAAAAAATTATATTTTCCAAAAAAAAAATTTGTGAACAAAATATACAATAATCAGGGGTCTGTTTAGAAGAAATTTGAGTCCGTTAACGGACCCTTCACAAAATATCATTTCATAAAAGCGGACCTTTCACAAAATAATTTATCTTTTAATCAGACCCTTCACAAATTTGTTAATTTTCATTATTGTTTTGTTCATCGAATAAACCCTTCCGGTGGAGGGGGGGGGGAGATGGTTCGAGACAAACTAAGTTTCCCTAAGTTTAAATTCCAAATGTAGTATTCTAAGAAAATATTTCTACTTTTACAAACATCGCGTGCACATTCTTATTAATATTAAATCATAATTTATTTAATTTTTGTAAATAAATAATTGATCGATTTATATTTATTTTATAAAATTAATTAATAGAATATTATGTAAATAAAAATAAATTTCTGGCAATTTTTTAAATAAGAAATTTTAAATTTAAGAATTGTTTAAGTTTACTTAATGCGTAACACATTAAAAGTGATACATTAATAAGTTGTCAATTGAAATTATTAAAAATGTGATTTATTTTGTTTCCATTATTCGTCCGAAATGATTATTCTGTGTTGAGCAGTATAGGCTAAATACCAAATATTTGTATGTTGCCTCTCTAATTTAGTAGCAGCAATTGTTGAGCAGAATCTTGTATCTATTTACAATTTAAAAACTTCTTGAAAAGGTTTCTAGCAAATTTTTGCAATAACAGTACCCTATTTGCATACATATTCACAAAAGCAGGACCCTGGTTGAAAGAATGTGACTTAAAGCTTATTTTATATTCACTAATTATGAAAAGTTTTTTCACAATTTTACAAAAACAGAACCTTTTACAAAATATCTGGACAGACTCCTGATAATTGTAGCTTTATGTACAAGCCTTTTGGAAATTTAGATTATCCGGTTTTGAAAAACAATGATCTGTACTTGAAAAATTTTTTTTTAAACTTTACGAATAGTGTTTGTGTTACTCAAAGAGAAGAAATAGACAAGAAGTTATTTGTAAAGTATGTTATGTCTACATATTAATTGGCATTTTTAAGACCTCTCATCATTACTTCCTTTAAACAAGTTATACAGTTGAACCTGTTTATCTCGAACCTCTTTATCTCGAAAACCTCTATATCTCGAAATTTCTAAAATTCCCTCCATTTACTGTCTAAAATCAATGTATTTTCCATGCTTATGTCTAAATTTTTTTTCTCCGAAACCTCCGTTTCTCGATTTTCTAATAATTGAGCACAAATTTCAAAACTTTCTTTATCAGTAGAACTCGTAGACAGACATGAATTGAGTGAATCCACCGGAAATAGGGATGAACAGGTTGGAGGTGTTTCTTGGAATTTCAATCACTATCCCTGCACCTCCGTAGCTAGAAAGGAATACAAAGATTCTGGCAGTAAGTGAGGAGTTAATGAGTAGTGACCATCAGGGGTTAGCTTTTCAACATAGATAAGAATGCAGCTAAGAATAGAAATTCATTTTGATTTCAAAATTGCAACCAATGGATCAAACAATAATTAAGAGTTTTAAAGTAAACTGTAGGAAACAGTTGGTATGCAGACTTGTAGATGCCATCGATGAAAAAAGTTTGCTATCAGAATTACTGTTTTGTTTAAAGAAATGTGTCTCTAAACACATTTCCAAAATGATTTTAAAAAGCTTGTTTTAAGATTAGCTGTGAAGATGATGAATAAGAGGTTGAAGGCATCAGTAAAGAAGAAGAAACTGTTAATGCTAAAAATGCAGTGCCAGATTTGCCAGAATGGAATGCAATAAAATCTAGATTTAATGTTGACATTAATTTTTGATGATTTTTACAAGTGGACAACTGCCTGGCAACATGTGGAACACTGACAGATGCGGAAATCATAGATAATGTCGAAGGAATATCAGATGAAGAAGTTGAAGATCATATTGATGCATCAAAAGTGAATGCAAAAGAAGTAGAATTCTTATAAACTACTCTTGAATCTCAGAAAAATGTTGGCTGTGAGGAATTTGCGATCTCTCTATCCTCAAAAGAATAATCGAAACAAATAAGGTTATCAGTCAAAAATCTTGGAAATTTTTTTTTCGGTGTTAAATGTACGTTAAAAACAATTATGTAAATAGATGTATATGGTATAATTAATTTAAAGAAATTTTTAAAATTTTCTACTAAAAACAATTAAAGCACTTTTATTAGAATTTCTTAATTAAATTTAATTTTTTATAGTACCTGTATATCTCGAAACCTTTTTATCTCGAATTTTTCACCTTTCCCGTGAGATTCGAGATAGACAGGTTCGACTGTATGTACTTTTCATAAGGATGACTTTTGCACTGTTTTAAAAGTTATTTTTCTCTTCCTCACTTCCCAGCTGGTGACATGTGGCCGCCGTTCAGAAATGACAAAAAAGAAAAATTGGATCTTTTCGTATCTGACATTTGCAGGTAATTTATAACAGTTTTTAATTCATTTTTTTTGTGATTTCTCCTCGTACTGAAAACTGTAAAATAAAACAACACACCGAACTAAATTGAATGTCTGTTCAGTTTTCAGACATAATCCGCACAAGAAACTGAGGCTGAAAAATAAAAACAGATCGTTTTCGGTATTTATTAATTATTTTTCACATTGTTCCTACCACTACAAAAATACAATTCCAATTCACTAGTAGATGGTGCGTAGCGTTTTTAAAAAGTACTTAAAAGTGCTTATTTTCAATTTTTGTTTTTAAAAGCCCTAAAAGGTGCTTTTTTTCATTGGATATTTTTAAAAAGTGCTTAATTTTCCCTTCTCGAAAATGAGATTTTTTTTCTTTACCATGTCAATTTTCGACACGCCTTACTCAAAAGTGTGCTTTTCACATTGTTAAACGTTTTAGCTATTCATTCAACCACTATTTATTTTGGTGTACCGTCGGTCCATAGTATATGAAAACGTCAAACACGTTTGATGAAATACTGGCGAGTCCGCATGTGCGTCTACTGAGCTGGGTTCAGTGAGATTATTGCACTCTCATCTCCAACTGCTGCATTTTGCAAGATATTCTCTATTTCAGACTTCATTTTCCACCCTCAGATATCGAACCGAAAAATCTCTCCATCTCTATGGTGGCTAATATGATCAAGAAAAAGAGTTCTTTCTCAGAAACTAGTTATTTTATCAAGTCTTCGGAAATTATTTTGCATTTTGTTAATGTATATAGTGCTTAAAAATATTTTTTGAGTGCTTAAAAAGTACTTCAAGGATACTTATTCTTTGCTGAAAGATTTGGCTACGCACCCTGTGGTATATAAGACATATTAACTCGATTCTATGGTGGGATACCTTTTCATAGATGAAGGTTGACATTGTCGATATCTACTCTCCCCACATTGGTGACCCGGACATGGTGTGAACTTGATTTGAACACGCCTACTTCGATGGATAGTCCGCATAGGAAAGTTGACTTGTTACTTGTGACGGTTATAATATCCACCTTGTCTCGATCACGCGCAACGCCTGCCTGTGTATACTCGACTGCTAATGGCAGCACAGGGGTGACCACACCCGCAAACTTAATACAGCTCTCCTGGCTTCTCACAAAACAGCAACGAAACCACTAGTGGTATCCCATTCTCATCGAATTCTATCAGAGACAGGGTTGCAAAAAACCCAACCCGGGTGGGTTTTATTGGGCTTTTCTGGGTTCTTTTGGACTTTTCTGGGTTTTTCATGTTTCAATGGAGTTTTTTTTCAAAAGACACGGCAGGGATAAGTACCTTATTTTAAAAAAGCCTATTTTAATATTAATAATTAAGTTTAATTTTATAACTTGACTTAACAAATAGGTAATTAACAATTAATACAAATAAATTGATGCAAAAGTCTGAAAAAAGTTTCTTCTGACATCACGATAGAAAATGTTATATGTACTCACATACATCACACATTTGAAACTTATTTTAACACAGGATTACTTTTTATTTATATTTTAGACTTAAAAAATATTTGAGGAAATTTTTTATTTATTTTTTGCATAGAAAACGAATCAAAGGCACTGACTAATCAATAGCCATACAGTCAAATCTAGCCAGCAGGGTGACTCTCTAGTCTCCAGCATAGTTAGTTTTTTCACCATAGGTTAATTTTTTTAGGCTAGACTACATATGTATTTCAAAAGAATAGCTCTTTAATATAACAGAGGACAAAAAAGAAATCAATGTTAGTAAAACCCACTTACTGGGTTTTTCAGAGTGCGTTTTACCACCCTGGTTTTACTGGGTAGGTGGGTTTTTTGCAACCCTGTCGCAGATAAAATTCTGGTGGGGGAATACTGTGGAGTATCTACCACTAGACGCTTCTTCCTTTATTAGTCCGAAATGAATATTCTTCGTTTGGCAGTATAGTTCATCATCGGCCCATTGTTTTTTGTTATTTAACTTTAATTTGATAATTATTCATGGTGCATACCATTTTAAAAGGTACTTAAAGGTGCTTATTTTTGATTTGCGTTTTTTAAAGCCCTTATAGGTGCTTTTTTAATTCTAGGTTCGTAAAAAGTGCTTAATTTTCTTCCTTTAAAAAAGAGCTTTTTTCTTTGTCATGTCGATTGTCCTCGTAAATTACAAAAAAAAATTCATGATTTTCACAATTTTCTCTGCAAAATTTATCAGTNGGCAGACGTCTAAACGGTATTCTACCTCTTCCCATGTCCTGGCGAGCATGCCTGGGGGGACGGTTGCCACACATTTGACTTTTCGTTTTTGAGATGTTGAACATCACGAATTTTCTCTGCATACACAAGATTCTGTATATGCCCCCAGAAGAAAAAATCCAACGGAGTCAGATCAGGGCTCCTTGGAACCATGGAATAGGTCCGTCCCTTCTGATTCACCTGTTGCCGAGCGTCCAATTGGTACGAATAAAACTTTTTGAGCTACTCTTTTCAGAGAAATCGACTAAATTTTGCTATCTTTTATAGTTAGTGAGATATGAATTTTTAAAACCCTGGAGTTCTTTTATAGACACCCTGTATTTCAAGATGATATTTCAGCTATACTAAACTATTTCATTTGCTTATAGCATTATTTAAGTATGTTCAGCTATTCCTTGTTTCCCAGCAATTAAAATTAGCATAATAGTCCAATATAGCTCACAAAAGTGCACAGTGATTGTTGTGCTTCCTCTTAATATAGTGTGCATAATATGTACTGGGAAAACAGGGAAAAAAAAATTTTCCTGACTTGAGTACCAACTCTGTGATTGCATTGATAAATTATTTGTGACTGAAAACTCATTGTTATAGTTTCATACCTGCCGAGTCTCCTTTTTTTTTTAATGAAGACTCCTGTATTTTACGGCTATCTCCTGTTTACCGGTATTTTCTCAAATTTCTCCGGGTGCTGATCCCAGCGATGACTGGTGGAGACGAATTCTGCATCCGACTTGCCCCAACCGCAGTGCTGATGTAAAATATCCTCAGCTATAGTAGGATCACCGGTCAGGGTTATCTGGCCGTCAGGTTAACTGAGGGAAGTTGTCGTAGTTTTTCTCTCCATGTAAAGCAAATTTCTCCCAATACTTGATCCAAGAGTTCCCTTGTCTTCTGGATTGGGTTCAAAATGACAAGGCTACAGAGTCATAATAATAGTCATAAACCAGAAATTGGGTCAGCTGTTCAACGATGATAGTTTAGTAATGATAGTTTAAGTAAATATAAATAATGGTTTGAGAAAATGTTCTTTAGATTATGATTTATATTCATACAGAGTATCTGTGCAGCTGGAAAGTCATGGATTTTGGTGTCAAACAAAATTTGTCATGAAATATCACGATTTTTAAAGAAATCATGGGTTTAGGTCACTGAAAAATCTAATTTTTAAAATGTAACTTAAACTCACAGTATTCCAATGTTCCAAATATCTAAATTTGTAGCAAAATCCCCTCTCCTAGTCATATTCTATTACAATTTAAAATGTTTTTATCCTGTTCTTTAAAAATGATGGTGTTCTTTCAAAAAATGGAAGAGCTAACATCGTTTCTAGACTAAATTATCTTTTAAAATTCTGTGATTTCAGAATTTTTTGTTATTTTTTTCCATTTAAAATTCTAGTTTAGGCTTTTTATATTACACTTACTTTAAGGAATAAATAAAACAGCTTTAAATAACTGCATATATCTGACAGTATTTAGTTTTTTGCTTTTGTATTTTTTCAGCTATTTTATTGCTTCAACTCTTTCTTCTCTCTGTTTCTTAAGTTTAAAATCAATAAATATGAAGATGCAGAATATAACAGTTTTGCTCATACCTACCATTTCAATTACTGTTATTATAATGCTTTTTTAAATTTATTGTTGTTTTTGTGGAGAAATTGGTAACTTCGGTAAGTCATGAAAAATTCTTGGAAAGTCATGGATTTGAAAATCTAAAATGTAGCAAATACCCTGTACTACATAGTTTTTACTTCGATAAATGTAAGGTGAATTTGAATTTCTCTTAATGACTAACATGATGTATCAAAACTTCACTCTTAGCCTAAAACATTTCGCTAGTGATATCTCCGTTATTTTATTTCTCCAATGTATGTAATTTTCAAATGTTTTTTTTTACTATGCTTATCTACCTATGAATATGTTTGTTCATTTTCAGCACCCTTCAATTGACCTATCTCTCTGAAGTTGAAGTGAACGAAATAGAGTCGTACAGGTATTGGCTGGACGAAACAGCTTTCGACAACGGGAAACACAACGAGTTCAACTCTTGTCAGTGTTCCGATGTGTGTATGCCCCCTGGAGCATTAGATATCGAGACCTGCCAATTCGGTAACACTTTTTTCTCATTCAACTAGTATTACATAGCTGTTCCAGGGGTCACATTCCCCCTAAAATTCATAAAACTATGTGCAAATCCTAAAATTCCTAAAAATCTGATAAAATTTTGTTGGTGTTCCTAAAAAATTAGAGTTATAGGCTAATTATAAATAAAAAGCAATAATCTAAAATATAAGAATTCAACTACATTAATTAAAACTGTTTTAGTTTTGCCGCATGGGAATTCTGATCCTTAGAGAGTTTTTTCGATAAATAAAGCAATGCTTAATGTGAGTCACCATGAGAATACTATTATGTCTCTTAGACTAATCAAAGATACCATTCGAAATTATGGAGGAGTGTTGAAGATCACCACAAAACTATTGAGGGCAGTAAAAGAATCTCACAAATCATATCAAGAATATATAAGAAAAATGATCACGATTAATTGGTTTTTCTCTAACTTCTAATATAAATTGCTGATTTGAAATCTAATAATATTACTCAGTAGTTTTTCTTAATAAAGTAAGGTAAAGGGTAATAATAAAGTTTTGATCAAGAAGGTAAAAATTAAATAAAAATCCAAGTTGGTGTTAATTTATTTTTTCTCTTGATTTATTCTCACTTTTGCCTGTTCCTGAATTATGCACTTAATTTCTGATAGGTAATATGTAAAGTTGAAATTTCATTTTTACACTTTAGAGATTTCATTCTTGACTTAATAAATTTCAGAGCTTTATTTTATGGCTTGCAATTATTTATGATATGTGTGGATGAATTGTAATAATCTTCTGTTATGTAATAAACTACCGTGTGATCTGTTTTTATCCTAGCGAAATCATATATTACCCCTAAAATTTACCTAAAATTTTTTGAAAAAAGTTCCTAAAATTACCCTAAAATTTTAAAAAACTTTGCTGCTACCCCTGTGTTCAGAATTTTTCACATTTGTTCCTAATTTTTTAAATCAAATCTGAATTTATGTAAAATTGCAGTATTTTTGCTTTTAAACCAATCCCTTGTTTTGATCGCCTGCAAGCGCGCTTCCTGTGATCATTGTGCAGAATTAATTTTCAGTAGCTTTTTATTAGAAAATACTATTCCAATAGCTGCTGCTGATCATTTCACTAAATTGAATCTTAAACAACTATTAAAAATTTGTTTTAGTATTTAAACACTTACATCAGAAATATATGTCTATGGTGTAGATTATTGTGTTTTATAATTTGGAGGCTAATAATTATATAGTATTAGGTAATTGTTGTTTTTAAATTATTATACTGGTATTCCTAATTATAAAATATTGATATTATAAATTTCCCACAAAATATAGTGTTTATAGTTTTGTTTTACTAATTTACATAAGGTATTTAAATATATGTCTGTTAATATTATTATTTAATAGTTAAATTTATGTAATTGGTGCGTATGATTTTGTTGCATATAGTGCTCCTAAATTTTTGATTATTAAGATTGGCAGCTATGGTATTAATTTTTAATTTTGTCTCCTGAAATAAAAAACCTACTCTATCTGGCAAATAGGGTTGTCTATCGGCTGAGAAGTTTCATTAAATCTAGGTTTCTTTCTAGAAAAACTTAATTTGCAGAACTCTTGTCGGGGCCGGTTTTGACGTGTGCTTCTGAAGCTTGGACAATGGCAAAACTGTAGGAAAATTGTATCGCAATATTTGAGAGAAAGATTTTGTGGAGAATACTTGTGTTATATCTTATTTTTGAATAGAGAAAAAAAATATTTAAGGAATCAAAAATGATTTTCTAAAAATATTGCGTTGTGAGAACTTTTAACTTTAACTAACATAATTTACCAGATATAACAAGTAGAAGTAATTTAAGTTAATTTAAAATTATTAGCACGTTTACTATTACTGCAATAATAATCTTGATGAGCTGAAAGATAAAAGTAAATTAAATTTAAAGGATTCACATCCAACAACATAACTAATCTAGACTAAATGTTTTTATTTAAAGAACTTAATCATAAGTCAAATTAGTTTACAATTTAAAAAGGAGTTGGTTTACTGCTACATGACTTACATTTCAGATAGACAGATTATTTAAAAATAATCATTTTTCTTTAGTTAACATCATATCAAAATAAAATAATAATAAAAGAAATTATTGGGCACATAAAAATTAAAAAAAAAAGGTAAAAGACTTATCCTAAAAGCGCGCGTGGCCGGCCACCCCGCATCATCCCTCAGATCACGTTCATCACCAGTCGTCAGCACATGGAATGCCTAAAAAACGAATTGCCGCTCTTTTCTCTCGCTCATGTATTCATCCGCACCAAAGGGTGGCGCTACTATCGTTTTGACTATTCACACCTGTGAAGCAGTCCATTCTCAAGTAGGGGTGAAGGAAGAATATTGGAAGGTGTTGAAGGATAGGGGGTGTAGGTGAAAATCGGATGGGGTTGTTGATTAAAGTAAAAATATAGATTAAAATACAGAATGAGATTATTTAAATTAAAACACGGTGCCCAAAAAAATTAAATAAAATTGCGTCCATAAATAACTAATAAAAATAATTTAAACATACCAACATAACACTTGGTGGTGTAAATGAAAATAATAACTGGAGAAGTAGATTTAACTTTCAACTGTACAAGATTTATAAACATTCGGATAGTATTAAATAAATAAAAATGAATTGGATGACCTACGTGATTTGAATGCTTTTTACACCCACTGGAACAAGAGAGGGGGGGAAGGCCGTGGTTGAGATTGGGTGATTCGGTGGAGTCTGATTTTCTTGCAATTAATGAAAACAATTGAATTTTACGGATATATCGGAAGTTGTTATGTAGAAATCTTCTGACGAAGAAGACCTTGGCCCACATTGGGCTGTCTGGCCAAGTATAATGATGATGAATTTTTAATTTTCAAAACTCACTATTATGACTTTTAATTTAGTGTTTAAGAGCTTAAATACAGGGTATCCGCGCACCTGAAAATTCATGAAAAATCTTTGATTTCGGTATTGAACAAAATTTGTCATGATTTTAATTATTTTTTTTAAAAAATCATGAAAAGTCATGAATTTAGGTCACCGAAAAATCTAATTTTTAAGATGGAATGAACCCCCTAATTTCTCGGGATATCTGAATATCTTATATCTTGCTCGAGGATATCTTGCTCGGGATATCTGAATTTGCAACAAAATTCCCACTCACAGTCATATTTGATTAAAAAATAAAATGTTTTTATCATGTTCATTAAAAATTATGGCATTCTTTAAAACAATGAAAGAAAAAAATTAATTTCTAGAGTGAATTATCTTTTAAACTTTTTTTCAGAATTTTAGCAATTATTATTTTTATTTCATCAATTTAAAATTCTAGCTGAGGCAAGCCAGTCATTGGCGAATTTTTTTATTCGGAAATGAGAACAGAAAAATCAGGAGTATTTCTTTCCTTTCCGACTGAACAAGAAAAGTATCTTTAGAATGTAATCCTGCAGAAAAAAAAGAAAAAATAATAATTTGCTTTTGTATTTTTTCCCAGCTATTTTATTTTCTTCAACTCTTTCTTTACTCTGTTTCTTAAATATAAAATCTCTAAATATGAAGATGCAGAGTATATGACAGTTTTGGTTATTCCTATCATTTCAATGAATGTTGTTTGTTTAAATTTATTGTTGTGCTTTTGTCGGAGGAAATAGTAACTTTGTTAAGTCATGAATTTGAAAATCTAAAATGTAACAGTTGTAATTACAGGGTATCCGCGCACCTGGAAAGTCATGAATTTCAGTATTGAACAAATTTTGCCATGAAATGTCATGATTTTTACTATTTTTTAAAAAAAATCATGGAAATTATTTATATGTGTGGATGAANCCCTTACCCTATTTCATCCTGTTCCAAATATCTGAATTCCTAACAAAATCACCACTTCGTCATATTTTATTAAAATATAAAATGATTTTATCATGTTCTGTAAAAATTATGGTGCTCTTTCAAAAAATAAAAGAAAAAACATTCTTTCTATAGCGAATTATTTTTTAAACTTCTGTGATATAAAAATTTTTATCATTTATTTTTTTAAATTTCAAATTGAGAACAGAAAAAATCAGGAGTATTTCTTTCCTTTCTGATGAATAAGAGAAGTATCTTTAGAATATAATTCTGCAAAAAAAGGGGGGGGGGTGGATTTTCTTTTGTATTTTTCTTTAGCTATTTTATTGTTTCAATTCTTTCTTTACCCTGTTTTTTAAATTTAAATTCTATAAATATGAAGATGCAGAGTATAGCAGTTTTGGTTATACCTATCATTTCAATGAATGTTATTATAATGCCTTTTTTTATTTAATTTATCGTTGCATTTTTGTCGGAGAAAATAGTAATTTCATTTAGTCATGAAAAATTCTTGGAATTAGTCTTGGAAAATCATGAAAAGTCATGAATTTGAAAATCTAAAATGTAGCAGATACCTTGTTATTAGTTAATGCAGATTACACTTTAAATTACAGACGCCTAACCATTTTTTCTCTAAATATGGATGCCTTGTTTTTTTACCTATTTTATATTATTATTAAAGAAAAGTGTAAAGATAGAGTTCATTCTGTTTATTATTAGAAAATTTAAAAAAATATTTTGTCCCTAAATCTTACTCTTCAATTGTTTATTATGAAACATCTGTGATAATTAAGTTTACAGATGATTAAAAATAATAAAATATTCAAACAGTTTTTTAGTAACATGATATAGGGAATGCTAATGTAAACCCGGTGCAAAAAATATTACTGAAATTGATTCAAGGAAAAGACGAGGCAAAATATAAAAGAAAACATACATTCAAGAGAAAATGAAATAAATTATAAATTTAAATGATGAATGAATTAATTTATTTTCTGAGACTGTTCCGATTAAAATATGCAGTCAGACCTCGACATAAGGTCACCCTAAGGGACATCGCAAAAGTGACTTTATAAGCGGGCAGACCTTTTAGCCGATTCATTAGCAGCATTAAGACTTTTTAAAAATGTTGATACAAACGAAAACGATCAGCCGTAAATTAACTGTTTAAGTCAATAAATTTTAACAGAATTAGTAAAGAATTAAAGAATGTTAGATTTAAAAAAAAATTTAATTTACAATAAAGCTGTTTACAAATTTCCTCAAAGTGCACATACAAACATTACATCTTACCTTATTTAAAATAATCATTTATGCAGGTCTGTCTTGTTTTTGGTTTCATTTTTTGAACAATATTTTCTAGATTTTGTAACTTCTCAAAATGTTACTCAGCTCCCTCATGATTTGTAAAAAAATTTCGTATCACATTTATTGCATTGGAGGTTTCCACATGGGTTACAGCTACAGTCTCAGGATCACTGTCATTGTCCTCACTGTCCACAAAAATTTCAGAAATTGTAACTTGTTTGTTGGCTGCAACATTTTCCTAGAACTCGATAGGGGTAATTGCCTTGTAAGGAAGTTAAATAGGCTTTTGTTAGAAAAGAGCTTCCCTCGCTTCAGATAAAAATGACCTTATAAGCGATAACGATTTTTAAAACTTGACCATATATCTGATATTTTGTAACAAAGAATTCCTATTCAGTGAGCCGGGACTTTGGAAAAGTGACCTTATATGCGGGGTGACCTTATATGCGGATGACCTTATATCGAGGTCTGACTGTATTAATAGTTCAAAGTCTTGCTCCATTTTACTTCTGGTATTTTTTATAAAATCAATTTAGAAATTTGTTTTGCAGAGTTTCATTTTTTTTTTCTATCTGAATTTTCTTTCTTTCTTTGAAATTTAATCTTTTTTTTCCGACTGCGCTCTGATGGTCCTTACCTCAGTTATTCGGCAGAGCGGTGTCAACTTACGTACTCTCGTGTTTTCTTTTTCGTAGGCGCGTTTATTTCGTGCAGAAGCGTTTTTTTATTTTTACTCCTTATTTATTGTATACTTTGGTTAGCAAAGGAGGCCAAAATTTTTAATCAGCTTTGAAAAATAAATAAAAAAGAATTTCAACTAAAAGCAGAATTTGTATCGAGGCATAGATTAAAAAGATTCTATTTTATAGTTTTTTGACAATTTGAAAATAAAATATTTATAAAGAAAGTATAGATCAGGATAGTATAATTGTCGGGGGTGGTTGAAGGAAGGGACATGAGGTGTAGATCATCCGCTAACTGCTTGTGATAGATTTGATACATCACCTTTCCTAAATCACGCCGATGATTGGTACATCTTTTTTTTTTTTTTGAAAAAAGAAAAACACAGGTTTTCGTAGATAACAGTTCATCCATCTTTTTATTTATTTTGGTTCTAAAAACATGTTCATTTCCAGTATACAGCTCATCAATTCGCGCGAAAGCGAATCCACCACGTGGATGCTGGATCCTCCCTGTGTGCTCCAGGGAGTAGATAGGAATTTGATTTAACATATTGAAATAATAATTGTTTTCTTGTAGAATTACATGCTGCATCAAATAAATAATTAGAAGATAAGGTAGCCGAAACTTATAACGGTAAAAAATCAAAGATTAAACTCTAGAGCACACAGGGGGGGAAAAAACAAAAATTCTCCTGCTCCTGAAAAAGCAAGGACTTGCTCGAGATCCACGGGGAATACTGGTCTATCTCCAAAAGATAGCGTCCCCTCCTTAGCGGTTGCAAGAATATCTAAAGACGAGCTATGAGTCGAGCCCTAGAGATCCTGCAAAGGCAATGAAGAGGGCGCTCCTGTTGGAGACAGCCCAGTATGAAAAGTAAACATTGTGGTGATCCCATGATCACACCACAATAATAGCGTTTATTCTTAAGTTACAAATTGGAATTTGTAGATGCCATATGGTTTTTTGTCTATTGAAAACTTCTTATATCAGCCCTTAATTTAATAAAAAATAATCAGAAATGAGAAGAAAAAAATCGTATTCAGAGCACACATTACGAAATAGGTTAGCAATTTCAGAAAATTTTCTGTAAAAATCTGAAATCCACTGTGATCACAAGGTTCTAATCTTGGCTTGGGAGAAATTAAATCTTCGTGTAACATTTGAACTTTTAAAGAAAAACAGGCTGCAGCCTACCTAACCGAAATCACTGTATGTAGTTTCTGTATTTTTGTCTTAAAAATTTTTATCTGTTATTTTTGTCTTAAAATTTTTTAAAAGTCCTTAAGGGTTCTTTTTTCTATTCGGGGTTAGTAAAAAGTACCTAATTTTCTAATTTTTTAAGAGACTTTTTCTTGCCGTATCGATTGTCATTGTGAATTACAAAAAAAAAAAAAAGCATGATCTTCACAATTTTCTCTGCAATATTGATCAGAAACTAGTTATTTTATCACAACTATTTAAAATTTTTGAAAATGTTTTTGAATTTTATTGATTTCATGTTTATAAATTAAGCACTTTAAACGATAGAAAAAAATAATTTTTAGTATTGCACAGATCCTAATAAGGTTTATTTTTTGGAGAGTGATTAAAAAAAATTTTTGGGTGCTTAAAAAGTTCTTATCGGGTGCTTATTTTTTTGTTGAAAAATCTGTCTACGCACCCTGTCTCAAGTATCTATAAATTCTAATTTTATGATGTACTTACTAAATTTGACTTTCCTTTATTGTGAATTTCATTTTGAAATGAATAATTGTGTGTGTTTTACATGTCACAGACACACCAGCTGTTGTTTCTTTTCCTCATTTTCTTTATGCGGATCAGCATTACATGGACAAGATAGATGGTCTGACACCAGATCCTGCAAAACACATGTTCTTCATTGACCTCGAACCTGTAAGTATTGTCGTTATGAGTATTATTATTATAGCTCGTTCACCAGAAGTTAGCGGTTGGCTCCCCCTTCGTCACGTGGTTTCCGACAATGCTATTTTTGGGCGAAGGTTGTGAACAATCCTGAACAAGGTTGCTATTTGGCGATCGTATCACAAAAATATTTATTTCGCAAACTTTATCTGTATTTTTTTTTAACTTTAAATATTTCATAACTCTGACGATTCTTCTTGCCATTTTTTATGATATCTCTTTCTTTTGAGTGAATAGCTTATTCTTTTTGAGACATTTTGCTCGGGAGAAAGTTTTTAAATTTAAAATATATTTAATTAGCTAAGGAAATGAAAGGTATAATAGCAGATGATAGAGCGAAGTAAGTGACTGAAAAAGAATTCACTGTTTGTGTTTGGCGCACATTAAGGGTTATCTCAATTTCAAGAGCGGAGATATTTCTCTTTTAACTCCAGTGCTGAAATGAACTCTGCGTCCGATTAAATGGAGCCGAGTGCCAACTCCTAGTAACGAACTTTACTTGGGGTTCTTCAAATTACGATTGAAGGAAAAAAATTTTTTGGTTTATTTAAAAAGAAAAGTTAAATAATACTTTGTGCCCTAAATTAAAAGTAACTAAACCATTTAAAAGTAATCAGGCTTTAAAAGTATTTCTTGTTCATTCAGGGTTGCCACTCCATAGGGAAAATATAGGAAATTTAAAAATCACCTAGAATAATGGGGATAATGCAGGGAATTTTGTTCCTTATTTTTGCCTTTAAAAGAATGGTGATCACTCAAAACATAATCTATGGTTTATTCAAAGATGATATTTAATGGATGGCAATCTATGGATTATTCAAAGATGATCCAGCAATGAAAACCAGTATAGTTAGTCCAATATAGCTCATACAAGAGCACAACGAGTGTGTTTTTCCTCTTAATATAGTGTGTATAATATTTACTGGGAAAGCACACTTTTTTTTTCCTGACTTGAGTGGCAACCCTGGTAATTCTCAAAAATGTGTTAAGCAATAATTAATATTTTCAATAAAAAAATTTTAAAAATATTAGCTTTTCCCTAAATGCACTAATAGGATAGTGTTTTAATTGAAGATTTTGAATATACAGGGTGCGTTCTGAAAGTAATGCGCATTTTCTGGGGAAAATATATTTATTTATCCTATGGGTACAAATGGTTAAAATTCTTCAAAATAGTTCCCTTGTGCATCAATACACACGCGGAGACGATTCTGCCACGTCTGGAAGGCACCATGGAACTCCTCGACAGGAATACCTCTCAGGAACCTTGTAACATGAGCTTGGATGTTCTCCACCGACTCCCAGTGCTTTCCCTTCTGCTCTCTTTTCAGTCGGGGGAGCAAAAAAAGTCACACGGCACCAAGTCAGGGCTATAGGGAGGCTGGGGCACTAACTCATCAATTCCAGCAATTCTTCACTGCGCAAAACTCGAACTTCTTTTTGCTCCTCCTTTCGCATTTGCAAATCCTCCGTCACAATCCCATGTACCAGACATTTTGACAAGTTTAGGGTGTTAGCGATTACCTGAATGCTTAACCGACTGTCTGACTTCAAAACTTCACACACATGCTGGAAGTTTTCATCGGGTCGGGCTGCTGTTGGGCGTCCAGAACAACGCTCGTCGGTGACCTTCTCCCCACCCTCCTTGGAGGCCTTGTGCCACCTTCCACACTGAGATCTCGAAATGCATTCCTCCTTAAAGTCGTCTTGAACCATGTGATGAGTTTCCGTCGCATTCTTCCCAAGTTGCACACAAAACTTAACCGCGTACAGCTGTTCAGGCGTACGAACACTCCATCACGCCGTGACTCGATCGAAAAAAAGACATTGCGCGAAGACGCGTCCCACCGCTCCTACTGCTCGGAGCGACCTGAGACCAGGCTTGTTTGGAAGGACAAATCCCCCACCACATTTTTTGACCAATCTGAGTGTGCTGCGATCAATAGTTGCGTCACAATAAAATCATGCTCATTACTTTCAGAACGCACCCTGTATTTATTTATTGCTGCATGCCACTTAACATGCAAATAAACATTCCATATCTATATGCTATAAATAGGAATAGTCCTACATCGCCAAACGACATCCTCGGCGATAACTCCCTCCGAGAATTTTTTTCCTTACTTATGTTAAGATAATGCATATTTAAATTTAGCAGTATCCTTGCTTTTGAGTTGTATCATAAAAAATACAAGAAAAAAACTTATTTTGAATATATTTCTTTAACATTTTTTTTAATATTATATTAAAAATTTAATATGAAAATATTACAATAATGAATCAAAGCATACTGCATATATACAAAACAAATTTTTTTCAGTATTAACTGAAAGTAGTTTGAAATTTAAACTGAAAATATGAAATTTAGATAAGTACATCATTCCCATTTGTAGTTTTGAAAATATAATTGTTAGCAAAAATAGCATATTTATAAAGTAAATAAAAGTATAATTTGGGAAATTTTCTTATTGATTCCCTAATTACATTACTTATTTTGAAAACTAACAGAACATGAAATGTGTGATGATCTATTTTGTCTTAAGCATTTTTAAAAACTTTACAGTTTAATCTTAAATATGCTTTCATTAATTTATTTTACCTTGATATTTTATCAAAAACTGAGTAGCTCTATGTAAACTAAGTGTTTCTATGATACAAATAACAAAAAGTTTTATTATTAAAAATTTTACAAAAAAACAAGCTTTTTTTTACAAAAAAAAGTTTTTTAAACCACATTGATTTTAACCAGCCAACTCATATTGAAATATTAGACTTATCTCTCTCTCTCTCTCTTTATATATATATATACAGTGGAGCATCGTTTATACGACGATCACTTATGCGACGTTTACATTTATACGACGTTTTAGTGTGGTCCCAAATCATTCCTATTCATTTTAATGTAAAAATATATCGTTTATACGACGCACAGAATCGGTTATATAGTATACTTTAANTTTCATGGTTTTCCTCTCCGTGTAACGCAAAGGCGGGTAGTTCCAACAAAAAGTCTTTTAAAGGCAAATTTCTCCCAATGCTTGATTCAGGAGTTAATTCCCTTATCTTCTGGATTAGATTGGAAACTTACAAGACTACGGAGTTGAACATTGGCAGGGGTCTGTTTAGAAGAAATTTGGGTATATATATATAAATATATGCAAAGTTTGCTAGTGCTAAAAAATTCTACTAGCAAAGCCATGGTTTATACTGGCTATCTTTAAGATGTATTGTAATACAATTTGCAATACTATTTATAACCTTTTTGTTAAATATTTATGCACATATTGAAGTTTAAATAGCAATGTTTTGTACTATTTTCCTTCTCTAAGAAGTTTCATTTAATCATACAGAAAGACAGAATACTTTATAAAAAAGTATATTCTCAAGAAAAATCATTGTATTTCACATATAACAGTTATTTTGTTATTTTCACTTTCTAGATATTTCTGTTATTTGAATTAAATTTTTTAAAAACATCAAAAATATAAATATTTTTAAAATAAATTAACATCTAGTGCTTTAGAGAAATTTATAATAATTTTTTTTTAATTGGAAATTTTTTGTTTAGTATCATAAGACTTTCTGGATATGGAATAGTATACCAGACAAAATTTTGGAAAAAGTAGCAATTTTATTGTTAAAAAGGAGTTTTGCATCCTAAATTTCTAAAAAAATGTTTGTTTATTTTTAATTGTCACAAAGTCAATTGTCTTTTGATTCATTGTCGAAATGCAAAAATGTGAGGCAAAAGAAAGAAGGTTTTAACAGAAGCACAGTTATTTTAGGACAACAAATTAGATTAGTTGAAATTTAAAATTTAAAAAAAAAACTGAATCATTAAATTTTAATAAAATCATCAATAATAAAACATACTTTTACATCTAAAATTAATTTGTGGTGTAACGAGGGGTGATAGTATTCCGGTTGTACCCCTGAATTCCAGGTTTTTCGCATTATTCCTCCAGGTCTGGAAAACTAGTAGCCAAGGCATGTGATTTTTTCGCAGAATTCCCCACAACTCAAGACCGTTGATTTGCTGATTTCCGGGAATCGGAACTTATAATCCGATGAATTATCACTGCAATTTAGCATTTAGAGTAAGAATTAAGTTCTACAATCTAGAATTAAATTTTTTAAACCTTCACTGAATCGCGTTAAGGAGATTTTTTCTAACATGTGTCTCTTCTGCTATTATACATTTTTGGCTTGTCCGCTCTTCATAGTTTTTCATGTTTGAAACTATGCCGGAATCCTCTAATATCGAGATTCATATTCACAAAATTTTAATATCTATCATCGATTTTCATATTTATCTAATTTAAAAGTTATTCATTGTGAATCGTATTTATGTGATTTAATAATCGAACATCGCGATTCATATTCGAGCTAGTTTAAAATCCTATTTCGCTATTCCTAGTCACTGGATCTAAAAAATCGTGTGCGATTCAAAAATCCAATAATGCGATTTGTGTTTTCACATTCTTAAAATCCAATATCGTGATTCATATTCATGCGATTTTTAAATCCAATAATCGCGATTCTTGTAAGAATGTGTTCTTAAATTAGTTACTATAAAATAATTAATTTTATTATAAAAAATTATATTAACTTGGAATAGTATATAAATTTATATCTTATTGAGTCTTTACACATAAAATTTTCAGGGTTTTTCAATTTGTGTCACAATCACCCCTGGGTGTAACTACCACTATAAATATTAAATACCATCAGTAGTATATAAGACATGTTAACTTGATTCTATCATGAGGTACCTTTTGATAGATGAAGGTTGACATAGTCTATAATTAAAATCCCCCTCATTGGTGACCCGGACTTGATATGAACATTGATGGATGGTCCACATTAAAATAGTTGATTTTCTTAAAATATACTGTTCAAAAGAAGAAAAAAAATCTGTTAAAGTGAATCAAGTCTCCCGGTCAATAAACAAAAAATGAAGGGAAAAAAATTTCTGAGCAAAATGCTATAAGCAAAAATAATAAATTAGAGAAAAAATTATTATGAGCATAATTGATATAAATAAATAAACAGCATGAATCAACTAGTGAAATCTGTTAACTGAATTCTATCACAGAAAAAATTCTGACAGGGGAGTAATGTGGTGTCACTACCACTATAAATATTAAATACCAATTCACTAGTATATAAGACATGTTAACTTGATTCTATCATGAGGTACCTTTTAAAAGATGAAGGTTGGCATAGTCTATAATTAAATCCCCCTCAAATTCTATTTATTATTGTTTCAAAGTATGAAATTATTATTGCTAGATTTAAAACTTTTGAATGATGATCAATATTTTTAATACAGTTCTATTTTGTAATATTTTTTAAACAGTTCCATATTTTGAAAGTTCTTTTGGGAGCATTTTTTTGATAGATATTTGTATTTATCGAACTTTCAATCACTGTTAGAAAAATAAATAAAATTAAATGTGTTTTTCTTAGTGATGTAACGAATAGTGATGGGGCCGAATATTCGGCCAAATTTTAGACTGAATACCCAATATTCGGTGGTCGAATACTTACTTTTTAAAAATTTCTCTTTAGATTGTAATTAAAGTAATTTTCAAATTTTAAATTAAAAATGAAATAAATATTAACAAAATTGCTTTTTTAATCTTTGTATATTTAAAAAACTTTTAACAACTTGATTTATTTTTTGTAATAATTTAAATATCTTGATGCCAATAACAAGGCAATGTGGCTTTTATAAATCTAAATGATTAATAATAGCATATTTTAGTTATAGTTATACTTGTAATTTATATGCTATTATATTTAAGATAAGAACTCATTACTTTCTACTGTTAAATGTATTCTTAACTTTCTTTTTTGTCAGAAAAATTATTAAAACCCAGAAAATTAAGAACTTTTTAAAAAGTTTCACTTTTGAAATTTTAATTTTTTAATTAAATATTTTTCAAATTTTAAATTAAAAATGAAATAAATATTAACAAATTTGCTTTTTTAAACTTTCTATATTTTAAAAAAATTTAACAACTTTATGTATTTTTTGTAATATTTTAAATATCTTGATGCCAACAATAAGGCTTTCACAAATCTAAATAATTTATAATAGCATATACTTTAGCATTCGGCTAGGCCGAATATTCGGCAAAGGGGCCGAATACCGAATAGTGGCCGAATATTCGTTACATCCCTAGTTTTTCTATGTTTGTCTTTAATAATGCTGCTATGAAAATGTCAATGGATTTTGGTGTATTGTTGCTGTATTTGTCTTTATTAATGTCCGTGAATTTTAATATATTTTAGAAATTGGGTATTCCTGTAAATGTTGATGCAAGATTACAAATTAATGTAGCCATTCCAAACTGTGATGAATTAGAGTGAGTTTTCTTCTATTTATTTTTTCAAATGACTTGTTGTACCTCATGTTCAATACTAGATATCCTTTAATGCCTGGATAATTCCTTTAAAGTACTCTAGAAGCAGTGTCATTTTTAATTTGATATAAATGGTACTGTGAATGAACGAAATTAGTGGTTGATGACTTCCACCGGTTAATGTTAACAATCACATAGTCGCTTTGGTAAATGTCCGAAATATCTAGTTAAATGCCCGGTATGCGTTTGTCCTACCAGGGGTCTGTTTAGAAGAAATTTGGGCCCATTAACGGACCCTTCACAAAATATCTTTTCATAAAAACAGAACCCTTCACAAAATATTTTGACTTAAAAACGGAGCCTTCACAAAATAATTTATCTTTTAATCGGACCCTTCACAAATTTGTTTATCTTCATTATTGTTTTGTTAATCGAATAAACCCTTCCCAGGAAAGGGGGGAGAGAAAGACAGATGTAAACGAACTAAATTTTGTCTGCGGCAAGAGCTTCTTCCTTTATTCGTTCGAAATGAATATTCTGCGTTCAGCAGTATAAGCTAAATACCAATTATTTGTATGTTGCATCGCTATTTTAGGAGCTGTAATGGCTGTTCATTTTTTGAAATTAAATTTTTTTAATTATAATTTTACAGTGTTGAGCATAATCTTGTATGTCTTTACAATTCTTGAAAAAGTTTTTTTGCAATAACCGGACCCTATTTGCACACATTCACAAGAGCAGGACCATGGTTGAAAGAATGTGACTTAACGTTTATTTTATATTCACATATGACGAGTCATTTTTTCACAATTTTACAAAAACGGACCTTTCACAAAATGTCTGGACAGACCCCTGCCTGCATCAATGTTTTTTTAAGGTCAAGTGCCACTGCCCAGTATGCATTTAGCCAGTACTCCGTTCACTGTTGTTTCTTCTAATCTATCCTCAACATGTATTAAAACGTCGAATAAATATAATAATATCAATGAATACCAAATGGGATATAACAAATATTTCCTACATTCACCAAAGCGACTATGTGATTGTTGACATTCACCTGGGAAAGACAACATTCTCTTGATTTCGGTCATTTGCTGTAACATGCATATGTAATCATACAGCAATAATAATATAGCACAATAAATAAATACAAAAATGAGGAAAAAGAAGAAAATTAATAAATTTTATTTACTGTGCATAGGTTGCAAGTCCCTTTTGCAGATATAATCGTGTGAGCTGATAAAGAAATATCTTTTTTCTTTTTTAAGAATATGTTATTTTATTTTAATAATTTTCTTCTTCTCTTTTCATTGTGTAATTTATTCCATCTTTCCTCTATATTTTGAACTTTTATATATATTTATATATACAGTGCAGAACCTCTTATCCAGAAAACCAGATAACCGGAATGAAATTCGGAACCGGAAATTAATTTTCTTCCTTAAAAAAATTTTTTTTTCTTGCAAGATTTTGAGCCCATTTTGTTATTTAGAGCGTATGGCGTATCGAGTTGACGAAAGAACTGATTTAGAGGACGGATCATATGCGGTTTGTAGACGAATCTCACATAAGCACAAATAGCTTATATATGTTATTAATGTTAATAATAACATATATAAGCCTGTATATAATTTTTATTTCATAATTTCTTTCCTTATTTAAACTGAACTGTATTATTATTTATTATTATTTCTAAACCTATTTCAAAAAAAATTTTTAGTTTCGTTTTATAAACATTTAAAAAAAAAAAGGGCATTTTGTAGCGATTCAGAAAACAGGAAAAATCAGTTATCCGGAATCGCAATGGTCCCGATCGTTCCGGATAATCGGTTCTCTACTGTATATATATTGTAATTATCCCCATATAGAAAGCAAACAATAATTATCCAATCTTCTGTAAAAAATTCTATGTTAAACTTTTAAATACAGAGTTAAAAAATAGTAAAAATTTTAAACTTATTAATTTAAATAATAATATTGTCAATAAAAATTTTTTTGATTTATATAAGAGGTTAAAAATTAAACTTCGCACTATACAATTTCCTTACTTAATTATCAATTATTCAATAAATCAGTTATATGCTGGCTAGAGAGGCTTCAGCCTTGCATCCATCTTTTCATCCAGTTCCCCTTAGAAATGAAATTACCCCTTAGAATTGCCCCTTAGAAAGGCGGCTTATTTAGAGCAAATTTAGGCACAGAACAATATCTGCTAGGGACTTAGCTGATGGAAAGTCCTGGGCTAGCCTTCTTGATGGCCAGCAGCGCTCTCACCTTTCCCTCCTTCCCAGAGCCGAGGGAGTAGCTTGCCTTAGAATAATTACTGGACATGACTACTTGTAGGCTCATCTATTTAAAATTAACCTGGTTAATTCGCCTCTCCTGTGTCCTCTCACCTTCTGGAGCTACTTCAGTGTTGTATTGGACTGCAAAACGCCTTATGTCTGAGAAGATGATGGCGGGCGTAATTTTAAAAAAATAAATAAATAAATCTTCAAAAAATTCCTATGAAATTTAGAACAATCACATGTGGATCTAATACTTACCTAACTAAACCTGGCACCATTTTCTCTAACTACTAAAAATTATTAATGTTATTATTGAAGTTTCTTCTTGGATTATCACTAATAATCAACCGATTTTAGAATTTATTAAACATAATAAAATTAATTTTGTTGCGATTTCCAGGATTTTTTCAATACCATTCCCCATTCTAAACAAAAAGATGTCCTTTTGAACTATTACCATGATTTAAAAAACATCCTTAGTTGCAATTTTGATTATTGAGAAACTCTAATTAATTTTTGTCTTTTTAATAATTATCTTTGCAATAAAGGAGATATTTTTCTTCAAATTGATGGAATACCTCAAAGATATAATTTTTCATCTCTTTTAGCTGATTTATTTTTGCACTATTATGAAAAAAATTATATTCTTAATATTGATTTTGTTTTTAGATTTATTTAATTATCTTTAATTTTCAAGATTATACAATTTTATTGAATAATATTTAACCAGAGAAATTAGTCTTGCTTCGTAATCACGATGATAATATTTATTTTATTTTTTAAGAAGAAAATATCCGCTTTGTTGATTTATATGATTAAAGAAGTAATTTTAATTTCAATAAAATAAGCTAATTAATTGAAACTCTATTGTTTCTAAAAACATCTATTTAAATATCATTTTTATCAAATGAATAGAATCAAAAGAATATGTAGTAATGTTTATTTATCTAAAAAACAAATTTACAAACTTTTTCAAAATTTGATAAAGCAAAACAATGCATACCCGACTAAAGTAATTAAATTCTATATAAAAACATTGGGTTTGTTGCATTTTATTGTAAATAAATTTACTAAAAAACTTCTTTGTTAATTTATATAATTTTTGCCATGTGCAAATCAGTGGCTAAAATTATGTACAAAACGGGCAATTCGTGTTTTTTCCTCTTTTCTATTTTATTTTACTTTTTTCTTAAATAAAAGTTAATTTTCTGAAATGATTAATTTTCTAAAATTATTAATTGTCAACTTCTTTAAATTATCCAGTATAATATTACCTTGCGTGCATCCATTTTCGGACCCATCCTTGGTAACTAACAAATCAAACGTGCTTCAGTACTGCAGTAGAAACACTATGAAAGAAAATCCTTCTATTTATGCTTTTACCTCAATTTGCGCTTCTGTTTTCATATTTTGTGATCCAGCAATCTTGTTACTGAAATATTTTTATATAGTTTTTTGCAAGGATCAAACCGTAGGTGAAAATCTATAATGCAGGTCTGATAATGCTGTATTGTGAATAATTTGGTATTTTTTTTAAATATAACTTCTATGGGTGTATCTATTTTAAGTGCAAATAAAAGAAATGAATGTTGTCAAGTTTATTGTATTGTTACCAGTAAATGATAAGCGTTTTGAGTGTTGTGAACAAAGCAATTATTATGTTTTGAACTTTTTAAATGTAATTTCATTCAAATATTTATATTAATGCTGCTCAAAGGAATTCAAGGAAAAATAATGTCACCCAAGTCTTTAGGTAGGAATACTACTCTTTTCTTTAACAGTTGTTGTATATCTAGAAAGATTGGAGGAGACAATTTTCCACTTTGCTTGTGTGTTTATCCATTAAACTAAACTCAGTGGCACGACAGCCCATAGAGGGCCTACTGTGACGCTACCACTCAGCCACCGGGCGTCGTGTTTATCCATTAGACATCCAAAATCTTAAAATATAATCACAGTTATTGTAACAAAAACCTATTATATAGACTTGATCATTAAAATTCTATGGTATTTTTTTCAGATTTGGTTAACAAAAATATTTTTTAAGCAAAACACTGACTTTTCAATGATTCATATATATTAGTTTCTTATATAATTGAGTTTCCTTTTCTCAATAAATAATAATTATAAATGTGTCGAGATACTTTTTTTAATGAAACTATGGTACTTTATACTGACCTAAAAGTACCTTATACTGACCTAAAAGTACCTTATACAGACCTAAAAGTACCTTATACTGACCTAAAAAGTACCTTATACTAACCTAAAAGTATTTTATACTAACCTAAAAGTACCTTGTACCCAATACCTAAAGGGGCCACTCTGACCCTTCCTGTCATTATAGGTATGAGGTTCTATATATATGTTTCTATAAGTCAAAGGCAGGAATGTTTAAATAAGCCCTTAAATTGGTACAAATTAGGAAAAGTCAGAAATACTAAACTCTTTCAGTAAATTAATTTTGAATTACAGAGCAACAAAAATGAGATGGGCTAAACTGGCCCTCAATCGAGTGTTAAGATCTGAACAGTAACTGTGTGTTTTAAAAATCGTGCAACACAAGTTTGATTTTTATAATTGTGGCCAGGTAAGATAAAATGAAACATTTTCCCTGGCCAACAGGATTTTTGAACTCTAGGCAACCTGGTATTGGTGTTGTTATGCTATAAAGAATTTTTTTAATAGTTGTAAAAATTTCAAAATCGTAGAATTAGAAAATAAAATATATTTAAATGTTTTTTTCAAGTGGGGTTCTTGAAATTCTGAATTCCTCACTTCTGAAGGCTTGTGCTTAATTTATCATAATTAAAAATGAACAGATAAATCAAAAATTTTAAAATAAAATTTTTAAAAAGAATTAAGATAATGATAAAAGAATAAATGTTCAAGTAGTTCATTCTTAGGAGTAAAGTAAATAATTCATATAATCAATTTGAATAAAATGGACAAAAATTATATGGTAATCAAAATTATTCATTTTTCTTAAAACCTGTCAAAAAGAGAATATTCAAAGGGTTTCTTAAAATTATTTGTTCAAGGCATAACAATGTCTAGCGCTGGCTCTATTTGCTTTGCACACAATTTTTACATGTTAGAATTATAAGAGTTTATTTTTATTTACACTCAAATCTTGTTTCAATCATATTTATGCACCGATTTGATGATTAAATAACTATTTTATTCAAATTTGATTTAGAAATCTTGAACTGCCTGATGAGAAGATTTTCTATCCTATATTTTGGTTCAGTGAGGTAAGTTCTTTACAATGTGTAATGAAATCATGATTATTATTTTATTATTTCCAGCAATTTGTTTTGTATGGATGTCAAATATTATAAAAGTCAAAAGATTAAAGAAGCAAAGTGACAGTACGGTAATGACTGGTTGCAGATAAGGATTTAGTTAACAAAATTACTCTTTGAATAAACTCCCATTTTATAAATTATAACAGTTCCAATGTTTATCTTATAGAAGAAGAAAAATTAAGACTGAAAACTCGCTGTAAAAATTCATCGTGCTTAACTGCTGTATCTTGCACACAGATACACAGATTAATTATTTTATTGTATTGTTAGTAATATTATTGTGTATGCTGCTGTAAAGCACACATGGTTGCCACTCTTCGGGACTGAAATCAGTCTTGAGAAAGAAAAAAATCTGTGGACTTAATTAATGTTTCTTTCCCAATTGTCTTTTAAATTAATTTTTCTTTTAGATTAAATTTAGTTATTAAAGATATTGAATTTATTAAAGGAAGTTATTACATTTATTAAAGAAGGAATAAAAGATATTAATTGAATTATTAGAGATATTAAATTTATGAAAACAATATATTAAATTTATTAAAGAAAGAATAAAAGATATTAATTGAATTATTAAAGATATTAAATTTATGAAAACAATATATTAAATTTATTAAAGGAACTTTTTAATTTTATTAAAGAAAGAATGAAATATATTAATTAAATTATTAAAGATATTAAATTAATTAAAAGTTTCATTTGAAAAATGAGAAGAAACTTTATCAAATCATAATATTTTTTAAACCAAATTTGTTTTAAAAACAAATGATTTGACTTATCTTTTGTCAAAAAATGTAAAATTATCTTGTCCGTAGAAATGTTCTAAATAGGTACTTTAGTTTAATTTTGTTGAAAAAGGAAGTATGGGTGAGCATGTTTGTATGTTAGTAATATTATATTTAGTTTAGTTAATATTTGAATGAATTATCTAGTTATTATTTCAAACGAGTTCCTTAAAAATGAGAAATATGTTCTTTTGAAATTAACAAAAATAATGAATTTTAAGGAGAATGCTATTTTAGATTTATTGTAAATGATCAAATAATGTCTTAATGAAAGAATAGGATTAAACTTCAGCATTTGCTTGTGTGTGTGACTAATCCCCTCACTGTTTAGTGGCAGCTAGACATTCGCCATGAGTTCATACACTCTCAAAAAGTCCGGGGCAAGCAATTTGCTTGTGTAAACAGAATTTGCACTATTCTTCAATATAAACCTGATTTAGTTAACACTTTTCCCACAACGTTTTGAAATTCTTTGCCAAAGTTAAATTAAGATTTTTTTTTTTTTTGAAAGAAAAGAAATTTGTAGAATTAGGAAAAAAAATATAATGGTGAAAGGAAAAACAAAGAAGTGAGTGATTTTACTTGTTGATGAGTGTGAGAAAGATAAATAAGGTTCGCTGCTATTTGTTTTTGTTTGCTGTAAAAAATAACTTAATAAAATAGAGAAAAATATTGTTTATTTTTCTAGAAAAATAAATTATTGATTTAATATACTAGCGATTGTCATGAAAAGTTGCCTTTTGCAGTCAGCAATAAATTTCTAAAANATTAAATTATTAAAGATATTAAATTTATTAAAGGAATTTTTTAATTTTATTAAAGAAAGAATAAAATGTATTAATTAAATTATTAAAGATATTAAATTTATTAAAAGTTTCATTGGAAAAATTAAAAGAAAGTTTTTCAAATCATAATATTCTTTAAACAAAATTTGTTTTAAAAACAAATGATTTGACTTATCTTTTCTCAAAAATTGTAAATTTATCTTATCCATAGAAAAGTTCTATATAGGTACTTTAGTTTAATTTTGTTGAAAAAGAAAGTATGGGTGAGCATGTTTGTATGTTAGTAATATTATATTTAGTTTAGTTAATAGTTGAATGAATTATCTAGTTATTATTTCAAACGAGTTCTTTAAAAATGAGAAATATGTTCTTTTAAAATTAACAAAAATAATGAATTTTAAGGAGAATGCTATTTATTTTAGATTTATTGTAAATGATCAAATAATGTCTTAATGAAAGAATAGGATTAGACTTCAGTGCGTGCCTAATCCCCTCACTGTTTAGTGGCAGCTAAACATTAGCCATGAGTTCATACACTCTCAAAAAGTCCAGGGCAAGCAATTTGCTTGTGTAAACAGAATTTGTACTATTCTTCAATATAAACCTGATTTAGTTAGCACTTTTCCTGCAACGTTTTGAAATTCTTTGCCAAAGTTAAATTAAGATTTTTTTTTTTTGAAAGAAAAGAAATTTGTAGAATTAGGAAGAAAAATATAATGGTGAAAGGAAAAACAAAGAAATGAGTGATTTTACTTGTTGATGAGTGTGAGAAAGATAAACAAGGTTCGCTGCTATTTGTTTTTGTTTGCTGTAAAAAATAACTTAATAAAATAGAGAAAAATATTGTTCATTTTTCTAGAAAAAATAAATTATTGATTTAATATACTAGCGATTGTCATGAAAAGTTGCCTTTTGCAGTCAGCAATAAGTTTCTAAAAATTCTGGTAAACAATGCTGGACTGCATTAATGAATGAAAAAATAAGTTCAGTCTTGAAATTTCTTTTTAGAGTAGCACTCATGTGTTTGAAACTAATGTAATAAAATGAAATATAATCAAAATTTAAGGGGTCACAGTACCTTTGCAACAATTTTTTTTTTTGATATTAAGTCATAATTATTCATTTTGTTTATCTTTTACATGCTCATTTAACTTATAATCAACAATTTATCTTCAAAAGTAATTAAACTGTTTAATTTTTTTTAAATTTAAAAAAAAAGGAAAAAATTCAAAATTTTTAAATCTCTAAGGCTTTTTTATTTTAACATATTTTCAAACAAATTTTTTTTTCCTTGTGCTTACAACATTCATCTTAACAATTTTGTGCATTTATTTGTCGATATATCAATTAGAATATTTTTTATAGATTATTTTGTAAAAAAGTAGAAAAAAAGGGTAAAAATTCTTGTTAGGTATATATGACATGCTGTAAAAATTGTAATACCCCATAAAATGCTTATTCCATGCACAGTTTAAATAAGTGTATTATACTTAATGTAAAAAAGTTTACTTTAAAACTTTATTGTGAATAGAAAAAATTTCTTAGGGATTTACTTAAAATTAAAATGCAGAATTATCATCTATGAGAAAAAGCACTTTAAAGTCTATCTGCTGATCAAGTTTCATTATTAGAACATTCTAGAATTATTTATAACTTTTTTTAAAATGTAGATAGAGAGATGATTTTTTTTTCATTACATTTGAAATTATTTTAAGTTTTATTATGAGCAGTAAAAAAACATTTCGATGTTTTGGTCATTTTTTGGATACTATGACCCCTTAAAAAAATCATTATTATATATAAAGTATAAAATATGGTTATGGTTAATAAAAATTTTTACATGTGTTATGCAGTGTTCTGATATGCTCTTAAAAAGTAGAATGCATGTTTTCAATTGCGTTCATAATCAAATTTGCAAATAATTATCAACTCATTCAGATGGTTTATTTCGATAAGGATAAAATCTTGGACATTAAATGACTGCTTAACATGATCAAAGGTGCCACTCTTCAGTCCTTAGGACTGAAATCATTAGACTAAGTTTCATCCATTAATATCTCTTTTCCACTTGTTATTTTAAATGAAAATGTCCTCAATAAGTTAGCAATTTTTGTTTAAAATAAAATAATACATATTAATAAATAACATTACTATTTTTTTGTAATTATTGCTAAATGATCGAGTAATGATGTCACACCAAAAAGAAAGAAATGGGATTTATACTTCTATTACACGAGTATTCAAAAACATAAGTTATGCCAAAAAAGAGGCTCTATAAACGATGATTCAGTGCTTATTTGCTTACACAAAATGTCTACTAGTGTTGAATATAAATTTGCTTCAGTTTTCATACTAACCCAATATTTTGAAATGCTGATCAAAGATTAATAAATTTTTTTTTTTAAGAAATGTTTAAAGATAAGACGCAAAAATAAAAGTGAAGAAAAAATATGTAGAGATCTGAATAGCTTCATGAAACAAATGAGTGGTTTATTATTCAGTGCTTGGTGAAAATGAAGATGTATAGAGTTAGCTGTTATTTTTATCTTGATTGCTGTAAAAAATAAATTGATAAAATGAGAAAAAAATTTAGAAAAATGATTTAATATCCGTGCCATTATCATGGAAGGTTACATTTTCGAGTCTGTGAGCTATAAATTTCTGAAAATTCTGGTTAACGCCGATAATTACGCTAGATAATTTTCGCATTGCATACTCCTAAGTAATCCAGCAGTCATTTGTTTGCAATTTAAAGCTAAAATCAACCTGAATAATCAGTATGTAATGAACAACATCAAATGACTTGTGAACACAAATTTGTAGGTTCTGAGCCGACCGTGCGCTCCTATCTCCGAACAGTTGCCAGGGTTTGCCAGCACGAGATGTATTTCCCTTTTGGAAAAAAAAACTCTTTCATCGTCTGGCAGGTGGGTGAATAAAATAAACAATGGATGAGAAAGAGCACCCAAGTGACACGTTCAGATCTATATTGCAGTCATTTCGACCACTATGGTCATTCTAGGTGTAACTTCATTGTATGCGCTTATTACATATAATAAATTTTTCTTTCATGCTTTTTAGGAGCTGAAAAACTTAAGAGGGAAATTGTTGAAAGTCAATTAAGCTCGCAGGGCATTTTGTGAAAGGTCTGTAGTTGTAAAATTATGAAGAAATGGCTCGTAATTTGTGAATTTAAAATAAACGTCAAGTCACATTCTTTCAACCAGGGTCCTGATTTTGTGAATGTGTGCAAATGGGGTCCTGTTATTGCAAAATAACTTTTTCAAGGAGTTTTTAAATTGTAAATAGATAAAAGATTATGCTCAACACTGTAAAATTATAATTTTAAAAAAATTAAATTCTCAAAAATAAACAGCAATTGCTGCTTCTAAATTAGAGTTGCAACATACTGATATTTGGTATTTAGCCTATACTGCTGAGCTCAGAATATTCATTTCGGACGAATAATGGAAGAATCGTCTGCCGAAGGCAAAACTTAATTCATTTACATTCATCTTTCTTTTTTTTCCCTTGGGAAGAGTTTATTTGATTAACAAAGCAATAATGAAGATAAAAAATTTGTGAAGGGTCCGATTAAAAGAAAAATCATTTTGTGAAGAGTCCATTTTTAAGTTAAAATACTTTGTGAAGGGTCTGTTTTTATGCAATGATATTTTGTGAGGGATCCGTTAACGAATCCAAATTTCTTCTGAACAGGCCCCTGGCTCGTATAATTATTTCATAACATAGCGCCCCTTTAAAGTTGATTTTTCAATCGAATATAGTATACTAGAATGGCTAGAATAGTATATAGAATAGTCGTTATGCTGGTTATTCTAATGTTAATGAATTGCTGGAAATAAATGTGTGTATATGCGTAACAAATTGAGTTGAGAAGTTGTTTATTGTATTGTAAACAAGTGCTTGATAAAAAAAAATTCTACCTCATTATTATTGTGTAATTTGTTTCTTTGATGTGTTTAGTCTGCTTCGATTAACCTGGAGACTGCTGAGAAACTGAAATTTGTGACAAAGATGTTGCCTCAGTATGTGACCATCGGATGTTTCTTGTCTGTTGCTTGTGGTGGAGTCATTATAATTGTTGTTTTACATCAAACAGTCAGGCATATCAGACAAAAAGTAAGATTTATTTTTTTTTCGAATTAAACCCATCTGATACAAGGTAAGGAAGGGGGCAGCTGCCTTCCAAATCGAATAGAAAGTTTATTTTACGTTACATTCTTTAATGAACTTTTTTAAAACAAAATAGTACAGTGTAAAATCCGTCAGTTTTAAGTTAGCTTCTTCATTTATCTATCAGCTAAATTTTCGCAAATACCATGGACAAATTGGGCCAACCAAATGCCTGTATTTATACATATTGCAAAATGCGATATGTTTACATAACTACAGGCTTCTGATTAGCTTCATTGAGCCGTCGTAAGTCCAAAAATTTAGCCCTAATGTCGGCAAGGATATGAATTTTTCGCTGCTAGGAGACAAAGTTAACAATCAGAAAACTGAATTCGGCATGATGGACATGGAATTGTCAAAAAATCAATAAAATAGACGGCGATATTTCGTCTGGCCGATGGAGGGGGAGAGACTTTATAGCTATTTTAGGTTCTAGTTAATTTTCTTGTTATCGATAATGAGATGAAGAATTTATATACCTCAAAATTAAATACCTTTAAATTCCTCCATGTTAAATATCTTCATTACGGAAGTAGTAAGGCTGTAGGGCCCCCCCAAAAAATGTTTCCCCAGGCCCGAATTGGGCTGAGGTGTAAGATTACTTAAAGAGCAGCTTATACTAAGTTAAGCAAAAAATATTTTTATTCATGGTTAAACAAAGAGTGTTTTTGATGCTAAGTTAAGCAAAAAATGTTTTTTAAACGAGGTTAAGCAAAGTATTTCTGAAGTAATTTTTATTTTTATCAAAAATTAAGTAGCAGGTGTAAGAACAGAAGTCACAAATCAAATTTTGATCTTGTTCCTCTACAACAGATTTCACGTGCCAGTCATTTAAAATGGAGGCTCCGTGGTGGCCCAGGGGGGGGGGTACAGCCTTCCAAGGAGGTGAACCGGGTTCGAATCCCAGCGATGGCTGGTCGATATGAATTCCCCAACCGACTTGCACGTGCTGACGTGAAATATCCTCAGTGATGGACGGATCACGGGTTATGAAATTCTGCATGATTTTTTTTTAAAAACAAAATTTTAATGCAATATTACGATGCGTAATTTTTGAATTTGAATAATCACTTTTCACAATATATATGAGTATATATGTATATTTGCTTAATCAATTATTGGTTAAAGTGAAATTTTTTTTAGAAAAAGTATGTTTTTTTTAATCAAAAATTATTTGTTTGAATGATTTCTAGTAATTAAAATCATTTAATTTTCTGTAAATATACAATTTTTGCTATGAAAATTTAGTGCTAAAGATTATCATATTTGCCACCAACTTGACTAAATGGATATATGACAATTAAGAAATTTAATAAAATTTTAGTCATATTTTTGTTCTTATTTAGGCAACTATTTTCATAGTTTTTGGCAACTATTTTCGTGCTTTAGGCTTCTAATAGCAACTATATTGATCATTTATTTCTGTGGCAACCCTGGATTCTGTCATCCGTATTTAAATGCAAAGCACCTAATCATTTTGCATATTAAATTAATTACTTGCAGATCTGCAGGATTTGGCGGAATCTCCTGCCATCGAAATTTTTTCCCAATAAAATTTTTTTTTTTCCTTGTTCATTTTTTCACTGGTTCACCACAGTTTTAATCGCAAAGAAACTGAAAAGGTTTTCTCTCACGGTTCTAATAATAGATCTGTACCACAATCCAATTGTGTTAAGTATTTTCATGTGGTTTCAGAGCTGTCAATAATCACATCACTTCAACGTTTCCTTCTTTTTACTTATTTTAAGTTGATAAAGTTTCATTGAGATTTTTTATTCTCAAAATTATATTGTCTGAATAGTATGAAATAATTTAGACTTTTTATTATTGTCTTATTTTAATAGATTTGTCATTAGAATTTTCAGCATTCTTCAATTGTTTGATGGTGAAAAAAATATTTTCGAACCAAAATTTTAAAAAAATTATGCATTTAGAAAATTTTTCACTACTTTAACCTTTAGCTAATGCAGTAAAATTTTAAGTGATTCAGTATAGTCATTTCAAAATAATACAATTCATCTCTTCAATCTAAATCAAATCTACAATTGATCATCCAATCATTTTATTTAAAAATAATTGAAATTAAAAATTCAGTCATCTCAAATTTGTTAAATATAATAAGTATAGGGACTCATTTTTAATAATTTTATGTTTGGTTTCTGTATTTATTGTTTATTTCAAAATCATTGAACATTTTTGGATAATTTTTATTTAAAAAAAAATACTGAACCAAGTTACAAATTTTAATAAAAATTTAATAGAGGTCATTTACTCATTTACACTTGTGATATGATATATAATTTTATATAATATGATATGATTTGTGATATTAAGCTTTTCTATACTCCATTATCAATTCACTCTATTAATCTCATTAAACACTTCTATTTAGTATACATTTATATACAATTTTGATTTAAATCTAAAAAATTGCACACAATAACATTTTTTGAATCAAAGTTTAAGCAATTGTCAGTAAAAAAATTTTTTTATGTAATTAAATAAAGTAATTATTCATTTAAAAGAATTGTGCATAGATTGTTTTTATGGTGGCTAATAAAATCTAGAATAGAGCTCTTGGGCAGAAGCTATTTATTGTTTTTACATACAGGTCAGGGACATAATATTATCATAGCCCCAAAAATTTGTGGCAATATTAATATTATGGTGGCATAATATTAATATTGCCACTAAAGATCTCTTAATGTGCACATTAATTACCTAGCTAATCTGTAAATTAAAAGATTTTCTCCATTAAAGTATAAAAAATCAAAAATTTTCTTAGATAATCTGCTTAGTATTCAAAATTTTATTTCTCTCCTTTCTTTATAATAATATTCTCATTTAATTCTCATTCATTTAATTTTCATTTAAATGTAATAATGTTTTAAACAGTTTGTTTCTTTGTATTATAACTATTTAATTGATTGATGATGGATTCAATTAACTGAGTTGTTGATTATTCTTTTTAATTAATTAGATTCTTTAGGCATTAAAAAGGGATTATTTAAGCATACTGAATTGTTTTTGCTTTTGCAGCAATTATCTTATTTTTGCATTAAGAGCTGCTTATTAGGTAATATGCAGATTGCCTCAGTAATTTAAGGAAATGAAAGAATCACCCTGGTTACTCTGTACATAAACTAGATAATCTGACTAAAAATAGACATTATTTAGATATTTTTTATGTAGCATTATTTCTTTGTATTACTTGTAATCATCATTGTATTTTTGGCAATGGCTCAGTGTGGGCCTAAGCCTACTATAGAAAATTTCAACCGGACAGCTTATTTTCTGACCTGGACTGCAGGCTCTTACCCCAATCACTCCAAAATTTAATTCTGCTGTGTCGAGCTATCGTTGTAGCCTTCCTCTTTTCTGGATGAAGAACTGTGGCACAAAAAAAAAATTCTGACCATTCTACATGCTGGGTAGCATTTTTAAAAAGTACTTAAAAGTGTTTATTTTCAATTTTTGTTTTTTAAAAGCCCTTAAAGGTGCTTTTTTCATAGGGAGTTTTTGAAAAGTGCTTCATTTTCCTTTTTCCGAAATGAGATTTTTTTTTTCATCACCGTGTTTATTTTCTCTGCGTGTTACGCAAAAACCTGCTTTTCCCATTGTTCAACGTTTTCACAATTCATTACAACCACAATCTATTTCGCTGTACCGTCGGTCCATAGGGTATGAAAACGTAAATCATTCAACATGTATGATGAAATACTTGCGAGTCTGCATGTGCGGAGCTGGGTTCAGTGAGGCTCTTGCATTCTGGTGTGCAATTCTGCTGCATTTTGCAAGATATTCTCCATTTCAGGCTTCATTTTCAACCCTCAGAAGTAGAACCGAAAAATCTCTATTATTTTATAATGATCAAGAAAAAGAGCTCTTTGTCAGAAACTATTAATTTTATCATGATCATGTAAATGAAAATTATTTTGCATTTTGTTAAAGTATATAGTGCTTAAAAAGTACCTAAAAGGTGCTTATTTTTTTGTCGAAAGATGTGGCTGAGCACCCTGTAGACAATCTAGTTCTTGTTTTTAATTTTAATAACTAACTAACTCCCTGGCATTACAGTCCATGTTGGACCATGGCCTCACTAACAATTTTTCTCCAAAGTCGCCTGTCTCTAGTTCTTTGTTTCCAGTTTCGAACTTTTAAGGTCTTTTTCCACCTCGTCAATTCATCTCTTGGCCGGCCTTCCTCTTTTCCTTTGGCCCTGGAACTGCCCCTTGAATATCTTCTTAGTGCCTCTGTTTTCCTCCGTTCTCTCAAGGTATCCTAGCCATTGAATTCTCTTTGCTTTTACATAATTCATTATATCTTTTTCTTTAAATAGTCTTGCAATTTCAAAATTGTATTGCCTTCTCCACAGACAAGGTTGGCAAGTTTCTGCCGAAGTGGTTAAAACCACTGGTAGAAACAGGTTAAAACCGACATGGCAGGAACCTTTTTCTGCCACATTTGTGGCAGAAATTCAGAAAATGACATAAAAGTACTGAGATTGACATACAATGGATAATTCATAGAAAAAACACTTGTGTTTAACAAAGTACAATTTATTTACAAAATTATCACCATTCAAAATCAAATATTACATTGTTTGCACTCTGCAGTAATCTATAACAAAAGACAAGTTTTGATGCAGTTTCTAAACCTAAACAATTTCTCAATTTGCCTATGCACGATCGAGAAATTTGAGAAGATTCTCTCAAGTCCAGCAGAACTAGCAGACATTGCCATCAAGGAACAAGCAAGATTTGTGGAACTTTCATCTATTGCATATTTTTTAAAACTGGACCACCGTGTAGTAGCTGGGGTAGTTGTCGAAACTTGACAGGAAAAATAAGTTTCAGGAAATGGGTCCGATTTGTTTTATATGAATATTTGATTTACTGCACTCTTTATAATTAATGTAAACAAAATCATATATATTTACAAACAATGAATTAAAAAGTTTGTTACAGTTACATTTTTCAGTTTACTTAAACAAAATGTCATTAAGCAATTACTTGAACTAATACAGACGTATTTTTAGTTTCTGCCGGTTTTTACCGGTTATAACCAGTTTCTGCCACTGGCATGGCAAAAACCAGTTTCTGCCAATAAAAAGCCAACCCTGTCCACAGATCACCCTCTTTGACAGGTACGAAAATAGTTCTAAGAATTTTTCTTTCCCAGGTAATCAGCATTTTTTATTGTTTCTGGGTTGGAGTCCATGTCTCTGATCTATAGATAATGGTTGATCTGATTGTAGTTTTATAAACCTGAAGTTTTGGTTTAATTTTAATAGTTTTGTTTATGTCTGGCTCTTTAAAAATTCTATAAATTTCCGAGTTAAAAACTTTAAAAAAAAAAAAAAAGACTACCGAAAGATGCGTTTGGAAACCTTTCTTTCAAAAGATTGTTGTGTATAATTTGTAAACTTAACTTAAATTTTTTGCTCAACATTTGTTTTCATAGGGTTAAACTAATATCTTACTTGCCTCATTCAACTGTGGTTTTTAGAATGGTTCAGTTTTTATAAAATATTACTCTATAACAAAAATATCGACGCACCAAGAAGCAATCATCCGATTGCTTTGAAATTTCGTATGCATGAATGTTTTGAACAGATATGGCTGGAATGATGCCGACTGGGGACGTATAGTCTTTTGCGACGAATCCTGCTACTTACTGTGTCCTGACGGTCATTGGAGACGCAGAGGGGGGATCCTGCCTTCACTATTGCGCTCCACACCGGCCCTCAACAAGGCATCGTGGTCTGGGGTGCCATTTCCTTTGACAGCCGGACCCCTTTGGTCGTCATTAGAGGTACACTTACTGCGCAGCGGTACGTTGACAACATCCTAAGACCTGTTTTGCTACCGTTCCTTTTGCAGCTCCCTGGGCTGGTTTTTCAGCAGGACAATGCCAGACCACATACAGCACGTGTTGCTATGAACTGTCTGCAAGCTTGTCAAACTCTTCCTTGGCCTGCCAGATCACCAGATCTCTCTCCCATC